TTTTAAGTTCCTAGAAGAAAGCTGCAATATTATTAGTTGAATCGTCTAAAGATTCCCTGTCGTTAAGAATATCGATTATTTTATATACTATTATGTAATTAAATATTATTTAGAATTGTATGATTTTTCTTGAATAAAATACCTCACTTCCTTAATTTTTGATCTCAGTTTGTTATTTTATAATTGAAAATTCACTTTCATATCTATAAAAAGAATACAATGGCATCACACCAGACAACTGAACTTGGCGAGGAAATGTCTTGCTTTGGTACTTACGTATTAACGCCACCGTAGCTACAGATTTGGCGGTTTTTAAGTGGCGCCAATCTACACTTAAAATTTTTGTGACAAATCATAAAACACTTTCAAAATTCACAACACTTTATTTAAAAACAAAGTAGTCAATCGGATTTTGGCGGAAAATGGGCAGATATAGAGTTTAACATAGATTCAAAACAGTCTCTATTTTGCATTGGCAGCTGTTTATTGGCGCAATTTCTGCTGCGGTGGCGTTAATACGTAAGTACCAAAATTCACTTTCATATATATAAAAAGAATACAATAGCATCACACCAGACAACTCAACTTGGCAAGGAAATGTCTTGTTTTATACCTACTGCTTAGTTTTTTTTTTAGAATTTATGTATGTCATAATGTTAGTGCTCAGAACTATATCGAAAATAGATGAAACGAGAAGTTCCTACTTGTAAGTATTATTAAACAAGAGACATTGTTCCCAAAAAATTCCAACTGAATCTACACTTCCATTATAATTAGATTTTTTGCTTTCAGTCAAATGATTTCTTTTTTATAATTTTAGTCACCTAAAAATATTTAAATTTGCTGATTTCCTATTTTTAAATTTCTGATTACCATTAACAATTCGTAAAATTCAACCTCACAAAATATCTGCATGGTTAATAATCATGAAGCTACACAAAACTACATATCAGCATTTTTAAAAAATCAATTAAAATTGAAACCTCTTCACTTAAGCAACTGAAACTGATCTAATGATCTGTTTTAATGATGATGATAAAACTGTTTTAATGATCCATTATTTAATTATCCATACGTTATTTTTCATCATTTAAGAACTGTAGAATCCTGTACAGATTTCTTTACTTAATACTTTAAACTCTGAAGCAGTTTGACTTAAATGATTTTTTTTTTCATTAGGGAAATATCCCTAAAATGTCTTACCGTAAGAAATCCTCCTCTCATCATCTGTGGGTAGGCTGTTTGTGTTCTATATAAATGGTACATGAAGCCACACAGATGTTTAAAGACAAGACTAGATAATTACTTCTCCTTGCTCCAATAGGGAGGAGTAATGTTAATATCTAAACATAGTACTCTCATAATAATACATTTGGAAAGGGAGAGGAGATTCCTGGCCAATTCTGCTACAAACACAATGGTATTGAAGAGTTTTGCTGTCTCTTCAATACCATTGTGTTTGTATAAGTGCTTCTTAAAGCAAACCTAAATATATTATATTATTTCATTACTATACTAGTTACACTAGCCATAAGTAACACAAATAAAAATAAATTAATAGTTTAAAAAAACTAAAAAATACACTTTTAGAGTTAATCCAACTAAAAAATAATTGTTAACATAAGAATAAAATGACTGACGAGAAAATGAATGTCACCGTTCTAAAAGCGTCGGGGGCTTGATATCATTTTTCACTAGTTTCATTCCGAAATGCAGAGTTAGTTTAAAAATGTCATACAAAGCACCCCATGCTTTATAGAACAGTTTTCTCGTCAGTCATTTTATTCTTATGTTAACAATTATTTTTTACTTTGATTAACTCTAAAGGCATGTTTTTTTTAAAGTCTTTTTAAACTATTAATTAATTTTTACTTTTTAGTTTGATTAACTCTAAAAGCGTGTTTTTTAATTTTTTAAAATTATTAATTTATTTTTTACTTTGATTCACTCTAAAAGCGTGTTTTTTTTTAAACTATTTATTTATTTTTTACTTTTATTAACTCTAAAAGCGTGTTTTTTTATTTTTTTTAACTATTCATTTATTTTTTGCTTTTTAGTTTGCTTAACTCTAAAAGCATATTTTTTAGAGTTTTTAAGCTATAATATTTAAATGTGATCCCGGAATGGAGGACTGGTTCTTACAATAATTTAATTGTGAGTAAAACAAAGGCTAAATGCGAATAGGTTGAGTCAGCCAGGATTCGAATAGGGAATCTCCTAATCCGCAGTCAGGCGCGTTATCCGTTGTGCCGCTGTCCCCCGTAGGTTTGAATGTCTGTAAATGTTTCTTTGCAGCTTATATAGTGTGTATGAGGAGAAGCAGATCTCCAGGGGAAAAAATGATGTGCCGATGAAGATGATTTTTCAAAGGCAGTGTGTTTTAATCACTCATCCTGGCGATCCTAATCATGAGATAATAAACTTATCAAAATATTTTAGTGTCGTCGGTCCTTGATAAGTCTACAACGTTTAAATTCAATCGGATCGCTTAAAGTAGGTCAAAATCGAGCCCAAAGAGTCAGTTACATACATACAAACAAACATACAGGTGAAACTAATAAAAGCGTATTAATAAAAAAAAAAAAAAAAAAATGATAACAGGTTTTATCAGTATTTTATTTCTTCTGTCTTGAAACAATAATTTGTAACAAAATAATAAATATAAATCTCATCTTTCATGCTCATATGCTTTTTTTTTTTTTTTAACAAGAAATAGTATATAAACAGGTTTTAACAAAGTTAAATTATGAATACATAACAATATACATAATAATAGAAAGGCAACAATGCATGAACAATACACTTTCAATAAGTTAACACTGAACTAGAAAATTTGTGTACAGCAAAAGAAAGACTTGCATAATAATGCCAACATGATTCACTTCTATGTACAAAACGTATGGCACACATGCTTTTAAAATGCAAAAATAAAAATAACACTGTACAAAATGACACAAAGTTATGTTTTCAACAGGATAGAAAAATACAGTTACTTTGATTTTCCTTTGAAATATACACAGCTGAAGTATGAAACTTATTTCCCTGATTTTTTTTTTCCTGAAGTGAAAATAATTGTTTATATACGAGTTCGTATTTGTATTGTAAATATTTTAAAAAAATTATATTCTTCCTGGAATAAAATCAAAACTTTTACAATTCAATAATAAAAAAAGAAGAGATGCTGTATTAATAAGATTCCTTATAAGTAATAAGGCACATTGACATTTCTATTTTAAGACACATATGATAACTGTAACCATGGAAATACACATATTCTGAAGTATTAACATTGTTATTGCTATTTTAGTATTTATTTCAGATATTTTATGAGTATTACAATAATTATGTGGAATTTTCAGTTTCAAATTCAGATAGAAATAAAGTTTCTGCACTCGCATTTTTATCTGTAGTCAAAATGCATTCAATATTGGACGTGCTTGTAGCGATGTCTTTTAATGGAACAGAAAAGTTTTTTCCATCACTTGAAACAAATGTAATCTAAAAATAAACAAATAACTAACTAAATAATATATATATATATATATATAAAAAAAAAACATTTGGTTAAAAATAAATATTAAAATTAAACAAAAATAGAAACACATTTAAGTGTACAGTAAGAATGAACAGCATTGAAATGTTTTGTCTGTCCTAATATAGTAAGTGTTTTTCTAATCCAGTCCTTTTGGAACCACAGTAATGCAGGATTTAAAGATAACAGATGTCACATATATCATAAATTGACTAATTACAGCAAATACATTTCTAAATATGTTTATCATCGAAGCTGTTCTCGCGATATTAAAATTGTCTTTTTATTAATTTTCTGGATAAACTGATTTTCCCCTCTGTCTCCAATTATTCCATCATTGAAGTATTCTTTCAAAAAATTTTTTATGTTGTGTATGTTTATATGCACATAATGTAATAAGACAATGGCACCAGAGTTCAGTTGAGTAGAAACCATAAATCAGCTTTCAATTTCTTAACTTATACAATCAAATTTATAGTATTTAATTTATTAAAAAATTTATTTAATTTGTATTTCTTTTATTTTGAAATGCAGCATAAAAAATTCCAATTAAACAGTATTAATAGTAAAGCAATTAATGTTGAAATTAATAAACATAAAATCTACCTTTATCAGCATTAGTTTTAAGAATTTTTTTTAAATAAGTCATAATTTTAAACAAAGAAGCAAATACAAATTAAACTTGAATACTTACTAATTTAGATGACTCATTTCCTACAGGTAATAATGTAAGGTTTTCTGATGAAAATATATCCGTATCCTCCAAACCATTCACTACTATTTGGCCACTTTGTACATTTGGAATTCTATCAGAACTCAAAATGAGCTGATTGGCTTGAAAAGGAAGTTTCTCATCAGGATTATCAACAGAATTGGAATCTTCAACACTTCCTGGATCTATAAAGAAGAGAAATTAAATAAAAAACATTAAGCTACTGAATAACACAATTTTTAAATTTATAAAAAGAACAAATAATTGCCTTACAATATATATATATATATATATACATGCATTGTAAGACAATTATATGTAAGTATATATATATGTAAGACAATATATATACACACACACATTCATGTTGTAAAGGAATATTCAATCATCTTTAGATGAAAGAAATCTTTTAAACCATTTTCTTCATCTGCTGGTTGGAGTTTATCCTTTACAGCACCTTTACTCTGTTTTGTTGTTGTTTCTTATCCCACTTGGCTGGCCAAGCCCACGAGCCCATACGTACTCATGATTGAAGGGGAAGGAAGCAGCTTCTGTTGTGATGGAGCACCCATAGGTAGAAGCCTGACTTTTGCTCCGTGATGCTCTTACAGTCATAGGAGACCGGGACCTACGGCTTAAAGTGGATTCCGAACCACTACAAACATCCATGGCACCGCCGGGATTCGAACCCGAAACCTGTGGCACCGAGCGCCAGAGTGCTAGACGCTCGGCCATTCAGGTCCCAAATTTACCAATGGCACGCGGTGTTCCCAGGTGGTCACCCACCCAAGTACTGACCGCGCCCAATGATGCTTGACTTCGGTGATCTAACGAGAACCGGTATATTCAGCATGGTACGGCCGTTGGCTATTCTAAATGTGTTATATGAATTTCAACTTGCACTACTTTGTCATACTATTATTATAAAATAATATAAGCTGAATTTTCCATTTAACTGAATTTCCTATAGACTGGGCTGAATTTCCTATTTCTATTATTTTATTTCTCATAAAAAAAATATAAAAAATCGACCACATGTTATATAAAAGTTTTCAATATTCATAAAAGTTTTGTGGATTGACACAGTTTGAAGACCCCTGCTTATATAGCAGAACTGAGATATTATTTTTTATTACATATACTGAGCAATCTTCAGTTAAATGCTGCCATAAAGGGAAATAAATAATATATATAAATAACAAAAAACTAATAGGAAAAACTAAAAAGTGTAACAATTAAAAAGAATTACACAAAAATGACCTATCAATAAAAAGATAAAATTATGAAAAAATGAGCATTATTTCATTACATATTTTAAAGCCATAATAAAAACATATGACATACTAATAATTTCCTATAATAAACGCTGCCTTATTTCCTATTCATTATAGTTTTCTATAATAAATGCTTTATCCATGTGTGAAAGAATATTCTCAACATTGCATGTTGTCCAAGCCAACTGCAATAGGCAACCCAATGTCTAGGGATATAGCAGAAAACCCCTGTTTCCAGGAACATACAACATGGAGACCTGATCCTCCCAGTTCAGGATTGGGCATAGAACTGATAATTCTACTTTGTAAGAATTTCTCTCGTTAAAAAATTTCAAAAAAAGTTTATAATTCTGACAGATCTATAAGAACATGATAATAGTTTGGCAACATTTATAAGGTATGGAAACTTTACAAAGACAGGACATTCTATTGACAATGTTCAAAGGAGATGAATTTAAACTAATTTTCAATTAAGTAAAAAAAAAAAAAAAAAAAAAAAAAAAATGAGTTATTCAACATAAATTTTTATTTCTTCCTTAATATAATTTAAAAAAATTTTTATATAATATAATATTAAATAAAAAAAACCCTGTATTGATACATTGTAAATCAGATGTTACTTTATATTGAAGAAAAGTTTATGGTATCATTGTTCTAATGCAGCAAGAGCTGCACTGCTTTTACTCATTTAGCACTATCCAGGGGGCATGTGTAGCTTGAAGATATGCTACAGACGCGAGTAACACTACCCCCACAACGTTCCTATTAGGACAGGGACCTATGGTTTAAAGTGGATTCTGAACCACTACAAACATCCATGGCACAGCCGGTATTCGAACTCGCTAACTGTGGTACCAAGTGCCAGAGCGATAGCCACTTGGCCATCAGGCCACAGAAAAGTTTTTTTTAGTTGAAAATTGCAATTCAACTAATTATTGTGAATATATGCTTTTCTTAAAAATAAACATACTATTTTAGTAAATGAAAATCAATAAAAATGTGCATTGCATGGAGCGATAACAATGTAGAAAGAAACATTCACTTACCTCCTAATATATCAAGAGGTATTTCTATAATTGGAGTTTCATTTTTCTTTTCAAGTCTGGCGGAACTTTCCTGTTTCACCACCAGGTGTGTCTCTAATGATGAAGCCGGCTGGCACTGACCACTAGATCTGTGTTTCTGCATAAAACCCCAAAAACCATTATTCCTGCTGATTAAGACTTGAAATTTTTAAATAATAATTATAAAAGAAAGACATGTTCATTAGATTTTCAGAATCTTCTAAACATAACTTTTCTACATTTGTGTTATATTAGAATAAATTAATTTTCAAAATGTGAATTATTAAACTGAGCTGAATAATATGGATGTCTGATTTTGTCCATATTTGAAAGTGTTAGGAACACATATTAATTTAAAATAATATTATACATGCATATGTGTATGTAAATTTAAAATAAGAAAATTTTTTTTTTTTAAATTTATGATCTAAAACTTGGAATTTTTATGATTTAACTTTTTTTAGCCATAATCTTATATATAAACCTGAATTCTTTTTTTTCAAATAATATTTAAAATAAATTTAAATGCATCCAAAATAAACTTAACTCTTTAATTGTTGTACCTGTCTTTCAGATACTACTGTGTTCAAAAAGTAAGACCCATTTTCAATTTAAAATTCCCGGGGCTTATTTTACTGGCACAGTCCTTGACATCTGTGTGAAATTTAAAGTCAAAATATTCATTAGTGTTTGAGTTATGCTTGGCTTTGTGAGACGCTCAAACTAATTCCGGCAATTTTTGAAATGTCAGAATTAATTGAGCAAAGAACTTGCATTCATTTTTGTTTGCGGAAATGTATAGAATGTTGCAGGAGGCATTCGGCGAGCATTCCTATATCGGAAAGAAATGTTTACAAGTGGTAAAAACAGTTCAAAGAAGGCAGAGAACGCGTTGAAGACGAAGAGCCCTCTGGTCGACCCTCCACCTCAACCGGGGAAGCTCACATCCAAACAATTAAAGATTCAGTGCTTGCAAACCGTCGATTTACAATTAGAGACCTTGCTACTGCTGATGGAATTTCAAAAACGATCGGTCAATTCCATTTTGGGCCTCAAACACGTCAAATCTCGATGGGTACCGAAAACACTAAATGCGAAAGCTCACACTGCATTGATTCTTCGTGACTTATGAATGATATGGATTTCATTTTTGCCAAAAAATGAAACATATATCATTTTACAACTCTGTATTCACACTGTGAGACTTCTGGCTATTCCCTAAACTCTAAAGACCACTCCGGAGACACCGTTTTGTGTCGATTGAAGATATTCAGCGTGAATCGCCGCGCTCTTTGAAGGCTATCACTGCCGATGACTTTTTAGCATGCATTGAGGATTGGAAAAAAAAGTTGGCATAAGTGCATTGTGTCCAGAGTAATACTTACATAATACTTTGAAGATGATGATATAAATTTGGAAGAATAAATAAAGAGTTTTTGAAAAAAAAAAATATTTGGTCTCAATTTTTGGGCACAGTAGTAATTCAAAGAAATTTTGCTGCCCCTGTATCTCACATTGGCTAAGCTTTTATGATAAAAAGCCAAAGAAACACCAATTTTTATGGTGCTCATATCAATTTTATTTACACAGCTACATACAGATGAAAGTACAATGCCTGTAACTGGATTATACCCTAATAATGTGTAGATTTAGACTAATTTTTCTCTTTAAACATTCAGTTTCAATGTTCATAACTTTTTCAAATTTAATTTTTGAAAAAAGAGTTGCTCAAATGAACATGAGGATTTAAGCAAAGAACTGGGAAAGGAGCTAGGTAATATTATTAAGATTGAAATGTAAAACTATGCATACCATATTTCAGTTTTTATCATGCATAGAAAAAGCCAAACACAAGGAGAGTTAATTTTATAACTTTGAGAAAACATTACAATTAAAGAAAATATAGTGATTTTCATATTAATCAATTTAAAATTTTATAAATATTAAAAATCCTTACTAAAAATTTGTGAAATATTTATCAAAATTTACAACACAATTGTTGTAAATAAGGGGTTAATAAATTGAATTAAATATTCTAAAAAATATATATTTAATAAATAAAATATGTTTTTAAAGCTAAAATATTTTAATGAACAATTAATTTATCACATTAGTTATAAACAAAGATTTAAAAATGAAGTAAAAAAACAAGAAATGAGAATTTACTTCTAATTCTTCTTTGATTTTGAAAATCACCCCACAATCTAAACATGTGCCAGTCTTTGCATCTGAATGTCTCCTCTCGATGTGTTTTCTGATGTCTGTAAAAGTATAACCGTAGAAATCGCAGATTCCACATTTATAATCTCGTTGTTTGAAATGTCTAAGGAAAAGTTGCTAGATATTATTTTTATTTCATAGAAATAAAAAAATAAAAAAAAACCCACCAGTATTGTAAAACATAATGTATTTATCATTTTCAAACAGCCTTTTTAAAAAAATGTTTAGAAAGACTTGTTATTTCATATAAACTAAAAATTAATCATTAGAGTTAGTTAAAAAGTGAAAGTGCCCCCAAAGACTTATTTTTACAAAGAAAAACAAATCCTTTATTACAAACAATCATTTTAATGTTAACTTTGTAAAATTATCCTCCCCCTCTTCAGATTTCCCTAACATATTCCAAAGATATATAGATAAAATACATTATTAATACTACCACTTGAAAAGAAATTTACAAATTTAATATGAAATTTATGTTAATATAATTTTAACGGAATTATTTTGAATCTATTAATCAATAATTCATAAAAGATTTAAAATAAATGAATTGTTTTTATAAATGTGAAATATACAAATGTAAAAATTCTTTAGTTCCATAATTTTATTTTTTTCTTTCTCGCTAATGCGATCTAAATAAATGTAAATCCGAATTTAATAGAAAATACGTGATTAGAAAATATTATTAATAAAATCACACATTAGTATCCAATACATTTTTTTTTAGTAAGAACTGATAAAATGAATTTAAAAACTTTTCAAAATCATTAAATAATACACAAATACAAAATTCTGTAATTTAATAAAAAAAATTAGAAAGGATTTAATACTAACATAAAAAAGTGATTCATTTATTAAAAAATTTATGTAACCACACAATTAGAAATGAACAAGAAAATAATCAATAAAGATTTTGAACTTCACAGCAAAGAAATCTATTTTTGAAATAAATCAAACAATTAAATATTTGTTATTTCACTATATAAGAAATAAAACAGTAATAAAGAACAGAAATCCTTTTACAAATTTCAATTTATCATGCATAAACATAATTTGCTGAACGAATATTCATGGGAGTATATCAATGTTCAATAACTCAAGAAATGTATGAAATAATTGGTCTGAATACTACAAGAACACAAGTTCGGCCCTTTAGGGTTCTGCTTATTTATTTGGCAATTTATCCGCTTGAGATTTTCACCAGGTCCAGACCGAAGCCAACAAAATGGCTGCTGTGGTATGAAATGCTGTGATTCTATCTGATGAGCAAAAGAGAATTGGTGAAATCAGAACCCTAAAGTGCAGAA